TGTCTCTCTCTCTGCCCCTCCCCCGCTCATTCTCGTTCTCTCTCTCTGTGTCTCTCTCTGTCTCAAAATAAATGAATACGATTTTTTTTAATTTTTATTTTATTTATTTTATACTTTTTATTTATTTCTAGGAGAGACAGAGAGGCAGCGTGAGCAGCGGAGGGTCAGAGAGAGAGGGAGTCACAGAATCTGAAACAGCTCCGGGCTCAGAGCTGTCGGCACAGAGCCCGACGCGGGGCTCGAACCCACGAACCGTGAGGTCATGACCCGAGCCCAAGTCGGACGCTTCAGCGGCTGAGCCCCCCAGGGCCCCGTGCCTGCTGGCATCTTGAGTCCAGCCGTGTGGACGGACCCCGCGCCGAAAACCCAGCCGGGCAACATTGCACTTGGGCCCGGAGATGTGAGACGCAGAACGGGCGTCTGAGGCCACGAAGCTCATGCTCCTGTGTGACACGGCGTAGCCAACCAATGTAATCTCTAACTCACTGTTCACTAGAAAACGATGCAGGCGGGATGAGCACCCGTGTTCACCCGGAAAGACGACGGCAGCTTCCCGGGCGAGAGAAACGCTGTAGCCCCGGCCGCCGGGGTCGGGTCTGGGACGGGAGACGTGCGTGGTGTCTTTGCCTCCTTCCCGCCCGACTTGGGGCATGGGCGTCCTGAACAACCGTCCATGTGAGGTGAGCGCGTTCCTGGAAACGTCCGTGTGCACACGACCCAGAGCGGGGAGTCGGTGTCGGGACTCCGTCAGCATCGTCCAGCTGTGACGTGTGACGGGATCCACACGAGCCTGTGAGCGGCCACGGCTCCTCGTGCTGGGCGATCGCGTGGCCGCGAAACCCAGTGTTTCCTGAGGTGTGTTCACGAGCCTCCCCTCCGAGGGGCCCCGAGGAAAAGGCAGGGACGCCGATGACCAGCACGTTACAAAGCCGCCAACACGTGCTGCTTCCCCGGCCCCGTATTTGACCACCCAGACGGCAGCCGCGGACGGGGGGCCCGAGAAAGTGGAAAATTCCCTGTTTACTTACTGCCTCGTCTCCGAATGGAGGAAACACGGCTGATCGGCTCCTAACGAGATAGGAAATCGCTGCCCCCTTGTTATAAAACTTAAGTATTTGCAACAGCGGGCGCCCAAGGGCCTGGGGTGTGTCGACCGCGAATCTGTGAGACCCTGTGTGTCTTTCACTCCGTGTCGGTTCTCACAACTTCGTAAAAAGTGATCTTGGCTTCAGGCTCCGAGGGTCTCAAGCCCTGAAACTCAGCACCTCTTAAATTCACGTTTTCTTGGCCGGAAAACAGAGACGCGACGCGTAGCCTTTAAAGACCCACCTTGGGGGGTTTTGTTTAAATTGAAGAAAATATGAAAACGTATGAAGCAGCGACGCTAAGGAAACACAGACGTTTTTACGATGTAGTTTTGCAAAATAACCAGAGACTCCTCGTCGCGCCTGACAGATGCGTGGGGTCCCCCCCCCCATTTGGATCCTAATTGCTTCTCGGGTGTAATTGAAGCGGCCGTCGGAAGCGTCTGTCAGCCGGGTCTCCAGGGGGAGTGGGATTCGCTGATCCCGTGACCCCACGTGTGGACAGAGCGTTTCATGGGGACGGGACCCCGTGCATCTGTCCGCATGGGTTTCTGGGCACGTGTCTTTACGGCTGAATTCCGCACACACGGAAACGCTGCACACGCACAATGCGAGCGCGGCCTCTCGACTCTGGAACTGCTTCCTGCGGATTCTGGGCTTCAGCTGATGAACGGGTTTGATGGCGATAACGGGAGTCGTATTTCTAACGGTCAGAGGGAGACTGGCACACGTGGAAAGGGGCAGCGAATGAACTTGGGGCCGTGGCCCTGGGGTTGGGGTTTTATCAGCGAGTGAGTCGCCCGGGGCGACCGCAGCAAAGCAACACAAACCAGGTGGCCCCAAACTGCAGAAATGTATCCCCTGCACCCCCAGCTCTGGAGGCCAGAGTCTGAGATCCGGGGGGGCAGGACCCCTGAGATCCATGAAGGTCAAGACCCCTGAGATCCATGAAGGTCAAGACCCCTGAGATCCATGAAGGTCAAGATCCCTATTACCCATGAAGGTCAAGAGCCCTGAGATCCACAAAGGTCAAGACCCCTGAGATCCATGAAGGTCAAGACCCCTGAGATCCAGGCGGCGCAGGGCTGGGCTTCCTCCAGAGGGTCCCGGGGAGGGTCCATCAGTCTCTTACAAGGACATCTGTCCTTGGATTCAGGGCCTCCCTGATCCAGAATGAGCTCATCTCAGATCCTTAATTGTATCTACAAAGACTCAACTTCCAAATAAGCTGCTGTTTTTAGGGAACAATTAGATGCCAATTGGGGGGACCCCATTCGACCCACTACACCCTCACATTGTGTACGAACTCTACAAATACCCACTTGGCATGGGGTATTCCTCCTGTCGCTGAAAATAAGTAAAGTTTAAAAAAGTGAAGGGAGGGGCGCCTGGGGGGCTCCGTCGGTTAAGCGTCCGACTTCGGCTCAGGTCACGATCTCACGGTCCGTGGGTTCGAGCCCCGCGTGGGGCTGTGTGCTGACAGCTCGGAGCCTGGAGCTGCTTCGGATTCTGTGTCTCCCTCTCTCTCTGACCCTCCCCTGCTTGCGCTGTGTGTGTGTCTCTGTCTGTCTCCAAGATAAATAAGCATTAAATAGATTTTTTAAACAATTTTAACAACTAAAAAAAAAAAAACACCCGCTCAGCAAATAAAAGGCGAACTTCCTCTGATCCTTGATTGCAACCGTCCGTTCTGAAACGCTGATGTATGAACCCACAATCTCTCATCCCTGGGGTTTCTGAGAACTATTTTTGGGGTCTCGAAGCGGCTGACACACGAGCGAAGGGTCTCTGCCTTCTGCACACACAAGTGGGTGTAGGGATTCACGTCCTTGAGGCTGGCAGCGGCCAGGGTCTACACGGCGGGAAGATTTCCCACATTGCGTCGTGCGTCCCAGACTGCGCACATTACGTAAAGGCGCGTGTGTAACAATCCGTATCACGTGCAAAATTTACAACCTCAACCGGTGAGGTTTATGACGCGCGCCGGGGCATCGTTCAGACACGGAGAAATACTTTGTTTTTTAAATTTAATTCAAACAAAAGAAAAAACTTTAGAAAATATTAATTACTTTCTTATTTACTGAGAGAGAGAGAGAGACAGCGTGAGCAGGGGAGGGTCAGAGAGAGAGGGAGTCACAGAATCGGAAGCAGCTCCAGGCTCCGAGCTGTCAGCGCAGAGCCCGACGCGGGGCTCGAACCCACGGGCCGTGAGGTCATGACCTGAGCCCAAGTCGGACGCTTCACCCACTGAGCCCCCCGGCGCCCCGGAAAAATCTTTCCTTCTATAAGCCTGAATGTGTTGCTCTCAGTACAGGTTTTCTCTGATGCAGCCTCTGCTCGCGTTTCACCCCTACGGCCGCTCCAGGACGGGCTTTCAGGAGGCACCAGAGACAGAGGCTCAGAGAGGTTCAGACACCGCCTGAGGTCACACAGCACAGCACCGGCCACACAGCAAACACCGGAGCCCTGCTCTCCTCCAAGGTCCGGGCGTCCTCGGGGCCGGTGGGCCAGCCCTGTTCAGAGGGCGTAGTCTGTCCTTGTGCAGCTTGGACATCGATGTGAGAACGTCCCCTCTTCGTCTCGCCCTGTCAGCTCTCAACTGCCGTGTCTGCCAGCGATCCTGATAAGACGGCGTGGGGGTGGGGACGCGGGGGGCGGGCGGGGGGGGCTCGTCACGACCGGGACCCAGAGAGGGGACAGATAGCATCTGTGAGTCACGCTGGTTCCGAGAACAGCCGCCGCCTGTGCTGACGGTTCCCAGGCTGCACGCGACTCGCAGACTTCAAACGAGGCAGAGAGTCAATGGGTGAACAAAAGTGTGCAAACCCGAGGGCCCCGTTGGGTGCACATGGGGGGGGGGCCCTCATTCTCCAAACTCCCGTGTGCGGGACACAGAGACGGTTTACAAAGGCGGCATTCGGGGGGCGTCTGCGCGGCCGGGAGGTCAGCCCCGCGACAAGGAATGTCCACCCCAGCGCCAAGGACCCCACGTCCGGACCGTCCCCAGCGCCCGTGGCCTCCGTCGCGCCCCCGCGGGAGCCCGTTGTCCAGGGTAACGTGTTCCCGTGGCCGCAGGGACCCAGGCAAGGCAGTGACAAGCACGGGGCTGGAACTCGACAGATTGTTTCCTACCCTGTTTAGCAAGAAACCGAGGACGCCTGAGTCTCAATATCTGTTCACCCGAATATCCGTTAACCAGGTTCCCTGCTCACCCGTCACCTGGTCACCTGCATCCGCGGACGCCCGGGGGACGACCACGTGACCAGGCGAGCAGGTGGGGACAGCACGGCGTCCGCACGCCAAGCACCAGGCCTCAGGAGGAACCGGCCTCAGCCCTGCCTCGGCCTCAGACCCCCGGCCTCACCCCCTCAGGACCTCAGACTCCCAGCCTCAGCCCTGCCTGGGCCTCAGACCCCCGGCCTCACCCCCTCAGGATCTCAGACCCCCGGCCTCACAGCCTCAGGACCTCACACACCCGGCCTCGGCCCTGCCTGGGCCTCAGACCCCCAGCGTTCAAGACCCGCAGAGAATAAAAGTGTGTTGTAGAAGCCGCCGTGTGTGGTATATTGCTACAGTCACCCCAAGATAAAGAGGGGGAACACCTGACCCCAGTTGCAACCCGACTCCAAACTGCAAACCCACATCAGTGCTAAAGACCTGAGAAAACTGTCTGTGTCCTTGAGAACGAGACTGGGTTGTATAGTTTGAAGCTAAAGCAAAAGGTGACATTCTATCGTTTGATCTGTTAGCGGGTTGCCTGTGAGGTGGGTCACATTCTGGTTTCCTGCAGCTCAGTGATCAGACTCTTTCCTTTCTATCCGTGGAGGGTTTTCTGGGTAGGAAAGAGGTTTCTTGAAATTATCTTTCTGCAACACACACACACACACACACACACACACACACACACACACACCGGACTCCAAACTTGTTTACTGCAACAGGCGGAGACCAGAGACAGACGAGCTACACCCAGCACCCGCCCAAAGAACCCAGATCTCGATAATCTCCGTACTTGAAGAGCCCGGCGGGAAAACTGGTGGTGTTCTCCACCGTCTACACGAACATACGGAAGACTCAGTAAAGCTCTCATTCCGAGTCTTCCTTTTCTTGCTTTATTTCCATGGACGCAAGGAGGCCGTGATACGTGCTCACGGAAAGACGATTTCGGTGACCGCATACGGCAGTCGGAGCCCCACCATCTCTGGTGTAAATTCCGTGAGTGTGGACACCGTGAGTGTGGACACCTGAAGGAAACGCTCCGGTCGCTGAAAAGTGGGTGTTTTCCCGTCCGAGAGCGGGAGCTCCGTGGCCGTGGGCATCTATAAAGCAGGATTCCTTTCCTCCCCACGGGGCGGAGAGTGCTCCTTGCTGGGTATGTGAGCCGCGTACGTCACGAGAGGGCTGCCGGAGCGCTCACAACACAAGTGTCCGGGCGGCCACCGGGCGATGTGCGCAGAGGAAGATGATTTCCGGGGACACTGGCCAACCTCCTTCACGACTCACGGGGAGGAGTCAGCCACACGCACATGTGAGCTGAAAACCAGAAACGCTCCGACTGACGGTGTCCCTTCCACAGCGCATCTGCCCACAAGCCCTGGCCCAGCGGCGTCCGCGGGATGACATGTGACACACGGACAGTCCCGGCGGGGCACTTAGGGTCTTCAGTGACCCCCACCCACAGGTGTCATTGGTGTTCCCTTTGCGGTCGTATTGAGTCCCTGAGACGCTCCCCCTCGATCCTATAATGTCAGCTAGACCCCAATGCTCGCTTTTGAGTTTGCACCCCCTCATAACAGCATATATGAGTTGTCACCTATCACAAAGGTAAAGCCCTCAAGAGAGACCACCTCGCTCCCGTGTGGGGGCTGGCCCGGGAGCTGGCTGGGGTCCCCCGAGGCCTCTTCCTCCTCCGTCGGTGGGCACGACAGGCCGGTCTTCATGATGGGCGCCTCGGCCTCCGCCTTCTGTACTTGGATGACAAGGGCGTCTTCCGGGCCACACTCTTGCTCCGCGCCCTCCATCTTGTGCACGTGGGCCACGTTCTGGGTGTCCTTGATCCACTCCTGAGGGGTAATAAAACGTGGCATCTTGAGCCTGAGGAAGGGCCCCACAGCTGGTGCAAGGGCCCTGTGGCCAAGCATCTCAAGGCCCCGGGGAGCCTCCCTGTGGTGCAGACGCCAAGCCCAGGTCACTTTACACCCTCGTGTTCATGTCTAGCGTGTCTGAGCTGAAGCCACGGCGCTTTTAGACCTGCCTTTTGTCATGAGCCACAAAGGCTATTTCTAAACCCTCTGCGGCTCTTTAAACGTGTTTGCACAAGAAACGTGAGTTTCGTGCTGGCGTTTCTGAACCTTGATAACGTCCGGGGGGTCGCCTGGACTGTGGTGACCTGGGTGAGCAGGTTCCTGGATTTCTAGCCAATTGTATCAACCTCTGTCCCAAGTACGTCCCCTGACTGTGAACCCTCCTCCACCTTCACGTGCACACGAAAGACACGTTTTCTTCTGCTAATCTGTCTTCCTCGTCTGTCTTTTGTGTGTTTAATTGACAGGCCCTGTGGACAGAAACTAAGAGGGTAGACGAAAAGTTTTTCCCCTGTTGTGCTTTTCCTTCCCTGTATGTAAGGAGTTTTGAAAATTCAGCTCGCTCCTCTGGGAGGTGGAAATCCCAGAACCTGTAAATGGAGCATGATTTGTAACAGGGTCTCTGCAGACGTGAGGAAGGGAAGGATCCGAGGTGAGCGCATCCCGGACGAGGGGGGCCCCCAATCCAACGACACGTGTCCTTGTAAGGGACGGAGGAGGAGACGCAGACTCTGTGGAGAAGCCTCGTGAAGACGGAGGCAGAGACGGGGGGACGCGGCCACGAGCCCGGGGACCCTGGGGCCCCAGGAGCTGGGAGAGGCGGGAAGGACCCTCCCCTGGGGCCTCAGGAGGGAGCACAGCCCCGCCCCCGGCATCTCAGCGGCCCCGCCCCCATCTCAGCGGCCACGCCCCAGCTCGGCGGCCCCGCCCCCAGCTCGGCGGCCCCGCCCCCTACATCTCAGTGGCCCCGCCCACATCTCAGCGGCCCCGCCCCACCTGGGTATCAACGGCCCCGCCCCCGTTTCAGCGGCCCCTCCCCCACCTCAGTGGCCCCGCCCCCTACATCTCAGTGGCCCCGCCCACATCTCAGCGGCCCCGCCCCATCTCAGTGGTCCTGCCCCGCCTGGATCTCAGTGGCCCTGCCCCCCCACACCAGCGACCCCGCCCCATCTGAGTGGCCCCGCCCCCCACCGCAGTGGCCCCGCCCCTTCTGTATCTCAGCGGCCCCGCCCCTCCTGGATCTCAGCGGCCCCGCCCCCTGGATGTCAGTGGTCCCACCCCCACCTCAGAGGCCCCGCCCCTGGATCACAGTGGCCCCGCCCCATCTCAGCAGCCCCGCCCCCATCTCAGTGGTCCTGCCCCGCCTGGATGTCAGCGGCCCCGCCCCCATCTCAGAGGTCTGCCCTGCATGGATCTCAGAGGTTCGGCCTGGATTTCAGTGGCCCCGCCCCCATCTCAGCGACCCGGCCCCCCGAATGTCAGAGGCCCCGCCCCCATGTCAGCGGCCCCGCCCCACATGTCATTGGTCCTGCCCCTCCTGCATCTCAGTGATCCCGCCCCCTGCATCTCAGAGGCCCCGCCCCTCATCTCAGGGGTCCTGTCCCCCCTCATCTCAGGGGTCCTGCCGCCCCGGGTCTCAGGGGTCCTGCCCCCCCGGTCTCAGGGGTCCTGCCCCGCCCCTCATCTCAGGGGTCCTGCCCCCCAGGGTCTCAGGGGTCCCGCCCCCCCGGGTCTCAGGGGTCCCGCCCCCCCGGGTCTCAGACTCGGGTCTGCGGAAGCGGGAGGCGGGAGATGGTTAACTTGTGTTGTTTCCAGCCTCTGCTTGGCGGCAGCGCCAGGAATCCCGGTTCCTTGTCCCGCTAACTGCGCGGCCCCTGGGGCGCCCCTGAGGGTGGGCGGCCGGCCGTCCCCTCACTCCCGCAGCTCACACCCGTCCCCCCACCAACACGTATGCAGCGCATGACGTAACGGCTCCAAACCGTTTGAGAAGCGGAAGCCCACGCTTTGTGCAGACGAAACACAGCCGCAGCACGACCTCCCCGTGAGATGAGAGGCTCGATGGCGCTGGAAAATCCCACTGAGGGCACAGGTCTCCGGGGCTGATGGGCAGACAGGCCGCCTTCTGAGACCCACAGACAGCAACGAAGTGCAGCCTGGGTTCCGGAAGGTGCCAGGGCGTGTGAGCGGGGAGTGAGCGGGAAGACAGGGTGTGAACCGGGCAGGCGGGGAGGTGCTGGGGCACCAGCAAGAAATCCCGGCGGACTGCATGGGAGGGGTGGCAGTTACCTGGAAGTTACCCTGATGGTATTCAAAGAGCCCAGGGAAGGTGAGTTTGGGATCTGGCACGCTGGGCATGAGGAACTTCTGGAGTCTGAAACGACACAGAGAGTCTGGTCAGCGGGGCCGTGGACGCAGGAGGGGCGCTGACCTCCATGAGGGGCCGAGGGTGGGGGTCCCACCGAAAGCGTGGCATTGAGGGTGCAGAGCGCCTGTCCACACCATTCCGACGCTGTGACGCCGGGACGATTTCCCTGAAGGCGATGGACCGGCCGGTGCCCCCGTGAAAGTCTCCGCTGGACACCCTAAGCCTCGCTGTGACCTGTGTTTGGAGGCTTCTCGCGTGGAAATCACACAGGTCGAATCAGTCACAACAGCGGGGGCGGGGGGCGATCGGCATGTCGCCCCGAAATACGCCACTTTGGACCCTTGACGATTTGGGTCTGGACTCAACAAAGACACAGCAGACATCAGAGGAACCCTCTGCCCTTCCCACCTGAGTAAACACCGAGGCAAGGGCTTCCCACTCTGCAACGGAAATTTCCATTTGTCAAGGTGACCCCCCTCCCTGCCCTTTACCAAGAAGGAGAGAACGAATTGTATCACCAAGATATTTCCACACACACAAGCTGTCTCACCGCTAACTTTCTCTGTGTCTCCGAGTCCCTTGCCACACTTTGCACCCTAGCGCCCCAGAGCGCCCTGTCCTCGGCCTGGCCACTTCTCCACAACTCTTGTCCTTTGTTAAAGTGGTGTGCGAGCGCCCCGGACCAACTGCTGCTTTGGGGTTTCCATTTCCTCTCTGTGAATCCCGCATGCACGTAAAATCATACCATCAAGGAAGAAACATGTGTCTTTTCTCATGTTAATCTATCTTTGGTCACTTTAATTCACAGGGCTCCATGAATGAGCATAAGAGGTTGTAATGTAATGTGATCCTAATCCAATATGACTGGTGACTTTATAAACAGAGAGAGTGATTAGAGGGTATGGTGCTCACAGAGGGGAGGGACCACGGACGAGATGGTATCTACGCGGCAAACAGAGAGGCCGCGGGAGAAATGAATGGTGCCCACGGCTGGATGTCAGACTCCCGGCCTCACCCCTGCCTGGATCTCAGACTCCCGGCCTCACCCCTGCCTGGACCTCAGACCCCCGGCCTCGGCCCTGCCTGGACCTCAGACCCCCGGCCTCGGCCCTGCCTGGACCTCAGACCCCCGGCCTCGGCCCTGCCTGGACCTCAGACCCCCGGCCTCGGCCCTGCCTGGGCCTCAGACCCCCGGCCTCACCCCTCCTGGACCTCAGACCCCCGGCCTCAGCCACATCTGGATATCAGACCTCCAACCTCACCCCTGTGTGGATCCCAAATTCCCAGACTCAGATCTCCCTGGATCTTAGACTCGCAGGCTCACCCCTGCCTGGACCTCAGACCCCCGGCCTCGGCCCTGCCTGGACCTCAGACCCCCGGCCTCGGCCCTGCCTGGACCTCAGACCCCCGGCCTCGGCCCTGCCTGGACCTCAGACACCCGGCCTCGGCCCTGCCTGGACCTCACACTCCCGGCCTCGGCCCTGCCTGGGCCTCAGACAACCTCATCCCTGCCGAGGCTGAGACCCAGGCGGGGCTGAGGCCAGGACGTGGGAGGCGTCTGGAACTGGGACACAGAGACGTCCGTGGTTCGAGCCTCCCCAAGACTCCAGTACAGTTACATTTCCCTCCTCACTGCAAATAGCGGCTTCCCTTGACAATAGGGCAGGTGTTAGTTTTCCAGGAACCATGCCCATCAGTTTCTCTGGGGTGATTCCAGCTCTGTATCTAAAACACTAAACAGGGGCGCCTGGCGGCTCAGTCGGTTGAGCGTCCGACCTCGGCTCAGGTCATGATCTCACGGTTCGTGGGTTCGGGCCCCACGTCGGGCTCTGTACTGACAGCTCGGAGCCTGGAGCTGCTTCCGATTCTGTGTCTCCCTGTCTGTCCCTCCCCTGCTCGTGCTGTGTCTCTGTCTGTCTCTCAGCCATAAATAAATGTTAAAAAGCATTTTAAAATAAATAAAACACCAAGCATGTCCGTGGCAGACACCCTGCTCCGATCGCTCATCTCCTCCCCAGCCCCGGGGCACCGGCCCTGCAAGCCTGAACGCCCGGGCGCGGGTCAGCTTACGTGAGGGGACGGTGAGTGAAGAAGAGCATCTGCTGCGATGTTTTAGGAAAGCCGTCTGGGTTCTCAGAGAAAATCATTCCGCGACGTCTACCCCCGATTCAAAACCAGAGATTTTTCTAATGCAGCCACTCTCGCGTCACCCGCCGAATCAGTACTAATTAAGAGCTGTTTGAATCACCTGTCGCTTGGGATGCTGTCTGTCTCTGTCTCTGTCTGTCTGTCTGTCTCTCCCTCCCCCACTCATGCTTGCTCTCTCTCAAAATAAATCAACTTAAAAAAAAAAAACAACAACAACAAAGAGTCACCCTTACCTGCGTACTTTCCATAAAGACAGGAGGAGAAGGGCCACGGTCAGCAAGGCCACCAGGCCACAAATTAAGATGAATTTGGGGAAAAGCTTTTTCTCCGGGCACGAATCTAAAGCAAAACAGGATGGATGCTGTGAGAGTCACGATGACAGTAAGTCAGGCTCCAAACCCCCCCCACACCCCATTTTTCTTCCTTTATAAATGGCAATATCAGCAAGTCTTGATTTCAGTACAAAATGTTCTGGAAATAGAGATGGTGTCAAGTGAACATGTGGCCTTCAGGTACCTGCGTTGCCGGGGGGTTGAAGATACTGAGGCTTACTGTGGGCTATCATTTGTCTGTCTGTCTGTCTGTCTATCCATCCATCCCTATATCTATCCATCCATCCATCCATCCATCATATCTATCCATCATCTATCTATGCATCTATCTATCTATCTCTGTCCATCCATGTATAACCTATAGATCTAAGTATCAACATCTATTTATCTATCATCTATTTATCTATATATCTATAATCTATGCCTAGATCAATGTAACGTTCATACATAGTACTTGTTATGATTGTTGCCGTTAATAGAAATAAAAATGAAAATTAGCCCAACGAGGAAGGGAGCCTGGACAGAGAAATGAGAAGAACCATCACTTTCTAAATGAATTCTGAAATATGGGGTGAGGTCATTCATGTTTCCAGGAGCCGCCATTTCACTCTCCCCAAAACACAGGGTGCTGGCCCACGCACTGCCATGCAGCAAGCCTTACCTCTCAGCTCCCCCCTCTGCTGGTGCGTCACCTCTGACCAGTCACTGGGGTATGTGTCAGAGCCGTAGCTGGACTCCATGGTTTTCACTCTCGCCCGGAAGAAGTAACATTTCTCAGAGTCCAAGCCTTCCATCGTAACGTTGCAGGTTTCTCCCTCCTTGGACTGGACAAAGCAAACACAGCAATCACTGACGTGGCCCAAACGCTGTACCTTTGTACGACAGAGTCACATAACATTCCTACTGTTGACCATTCACGTTCTGGGTGCGCTTCCTCTGCCTGCCTGGCTACAAGCAACAGCAGAAACAAATGCAGCTACAATCTCTACCCTCCTCTCCAAGAAGAAACAATCCTCTGTAACCATAGATAATACCACAGACGCTTTTAAAGATTACTCAGTGAAAACGTACTCCTTGTAAAAAAAAAAAAAAAAAGTAATTTTTTGGAGACCTTCAAAAACATACACACACACAAACACACAACATAACACAAAAAAGTATTTTGGAGACTTTAGAAAACATACACACACACAAACACACAACGAAAAAACATAAAAACCTCTTTCATTCTAGATCCATGATATAATCGCTGTTAACAAATATATATTCTTTCTTTCCTTCCAGGAGTATTATATCATGCAACATTTGACTCTACACATTGCTTTTATCACTAAATATCACTTCTCGTCACTGAATACCACTTTATTGTCACTAAATATCACTTCTTGTGCCTAAATATCACTTCTTATCACTAAAGAGACTTTGGTGGCTCTTACGCATTTAATCATACAGATGTACCATAATTCATTTGACTGTCTTTCTATCCTATGGCATACAGGTGGCCTCCAATGCTTTGTATTTATTTCAATTCATGTTTCCATAGATGCCTTGATATATAAAACCTCATCCACACTTTTCAATTCCTTCCTTATAACCAGTTTCTAAAAAGGGACTCAATAGGTCAGAATTGGACAACTTAAATAGTCTTCAAGTGTGTTAATGCTCAATATCGTTGACCAGGACACATTTTATCATTAGCATGTTCTTCAGGTAAACTCCGGTACCCACCTATTACTTTGATTTGTATTTCTTCGATGAGTTTCATCAAATTTCATTTCCGCGGTTCCATTCTACCAGACCAGCCGTAGGTCAGGTTTTTCTCTTTTTTCGTAGACTCCCTGATGCTTCGATTGCACACAATTCCCTTACAGTGGAATTCCCACTCTTTTCCTTACTGCTGCACTTCATTGTACCATTTCCAGATTTGGGGGTATGTCACACGGGCAATGCGTCCCTTTAGGGTTTGCCTCGTCTTACGGAATGTACACTTCATGTCAGGAAGGATCCCCACCTGGTGACAGAGCTCCTTGCTATCTCACCGAGGTACCTGGTCCAGACACCAGTGAACATACTAAGAGTGAGTAAAAGTAGTAAGAGTGAGTAGTGGGTGGGAGCCTAGCGGTGAGTATAGTAAGAGTACCCGTCGTAAGAGTGAGCACACCCAATGCTTTTCACATGTTATCACTTCCATCCCCCAGCTGACTAGGTGCTAGTATTGTGTCCTCAGTGCATGGGTCTTAGTAGACACTCAATATGAATACCTTGAATGACTGTGGAAGGAAGCCCTTCCCAACACCCGTAGGCATGGCAGACATCGAGTGTCCCGGGCCGAGGTGTTCGGGAATACTCACCCTGCCCTCTGTCTCCCTACCCCCTGGATGGAGCCGTGAGATATGGTGCATCTGGTCTACCTCACTATCCAAGTCTGTGGACACAGGTGTGTTCGCAGAAACAAGGAATCCTTGACTTCTGGGATTGGCAGGTGGGACCTTAATCACTTTTGGTTTCCTGTAGGAGAGCGTGTGCAATCCAACTCCAGACCTTCCCTGGGCCCCTCCAGCAGATTTTTCCCCATTGGGTCTAGGTCCACTTTGGGGAAGAACTTAATCCCTTGTGTACACGGTAACCATCTGATTATTGGAAAACAGCCCTGAGCCCCCGGGTCATGGATAATCACATAATTTTAATTTATTCCGTAGACTGTGCTCATATACTCCGAACCAGAAAGGGTTCCCATGTGTTTAGAAGGCATACAAAGAGGGATGGATGGTGCGGGGTATGATTCGGAAGGTGTGATGATGATCGTTTTATTTGTCAATTTGGCCGCATTTGGAATCCACTTTTTCAGTCGTGTGTCAGCCTACCGGTGAAGATATTTCGTAGATACGATGAATGTTTTTACTCAGCCAGCTTTAGATCACTCCATAGAGTGGGTGGGCCTCACCCAATCAGTTGAAGGCCTTGAGAAGACGGGCCGGAGTTTAGAGGCAATGCAGTCTCGAGACCATGATGGAAACGTGTCTGGGTTTCCATCCTGCTGGCCTCAGACTTGCCTGTCCGTCTAATCCCACAAGCAATTCCTTAAAAGAAACGTCAGCATCTGTCTCTGTGTCGCTCGATGCTTCTCTCAGTTACCAGTTGGGGATTCTGGCTCACGCCCGGCCTGAGAAGATGTCACCCACTCACCTGCCACTCAGTGTCGAATACGCTCTTGTATTGGATCTCATAGAGGAGGCGTTTGTAGGGCAGGTCAGAACAGGTGACAGTCACGGCTTCTCGGCGCCACCAGAAGTTCAAGTCTTTCGGGGAGCTGGGTTTCACTGGGAACGAGAGGAAACAAAATGACCACCACGTCTGCAGAGACAAGGACTCCGAACCTCTAAAATTATGGTCGTAGGTTAGATTTACACTCTCCTGCCTGCATGAATCTGAATTAACACCTTGTGAGACAGAGGGGGTTGACCCAGAGCTTCAAGGACCTGCCTGTGAGCCACAGAAGGAAGTCTTTGAAGCCGTGTGAAAAATTCTTACGCGTCTGTTATGGGATGGAGAGTGCGCCCCTAAAAAGATACGCTGGGGTCCTAGCCCCCATATCTCAGAATATGACTGCGTTTGAAAGCGGGGTCATGAGAGGTGTAATTATTAAAGATAAGATGGGGGTTACTGGAGTACGGTGGGCTCTGACCCGAGATAATTGATGTGAAGAGGTACAGATGGGCCGATTTATCTACAGCTAAGGGACACCAAGGGTTGCCTTCAGCCACCGGAAGCCAAGAGAGAGGCCTGGGCCCGATCCCCCCGACAGCCTCCAGAAGGAGCCCACCCTGCCCCCACCTGGATTTCAGATGCCTGGGGTCTTCTTAAGTGTGAGAGCATACGTTTCTGTTGTTTCGAGCCACTCATTTGGTGGTTGTTTGTTACAGTCACAGAGCAAATGAAAATGAAGACCGAACACGGGAAATTAGAGGAGACTGCTTCCCAGTCAGCGTGGCCTTCAGACAATGCACACTGATGTGAGATAAATGGTGTCCCCAACAAGTATGTTCAACACCCCCCCTGGGTCTCGGGGGTCCTGCCCCCCCTGGGTCTCTGGGGTCCTGCCCCCCCTGGGTCTCTGGGGTCCTGCCCCCCCTGGGTCTCGGGGGTCCTGCCCCCCTGGGTCTCGGGGGTCCTGCCCCCCCGGGTCTCTGGGGTCCTGCCCCCCCTGGGTCTCTGGGGTCCTGCCCCCCCTGGGTCTCTGGGGTCCTGCCCCCCCCGGGTCTCGGGGGTCCTGCCCCCCCCGGATCTCAGGGGTCCTGCCCCTCCGGGTCTCGGGGGTCCTGCCCCCCTGGGTCTTGGGGGTCCTGCCCCCCCGGGTCTCTGGGGTCCTGCCCCCCCAGGGTCTCGGGGGTCCTGCCCCCCCGGATCTCGGGGGTCCTGCTCCCCCGGGTCTCCTGCCCCCCCGGGTCTCAGGGGTCCTGCCCCCCCGGATCTCAGGGGTCCTGCCCCCCCGGGTCTCAGGGGTCCTGTCCCTCCGGGTCTCAGGGGTCCTGTCTCCCCAGGGTCTCAGGGGTCCTGCCCCTCCGGGTCTCAGGGGTCCTGCCCCCCCAGGGTCTCGGGGGTCCTGCCCCCCCGGGTCTCGGGGGTCCTGTCCCCCCAGGGTCTCAGGGGTCCTGCCCCTCCGGGTCTCGGGGGTCCTGCCCCCCCGGGTCTCGGGGGTCCTGACAGCCCACCGTGAAGGCTCCTGATAAAACACAAGGGGGTGGCATCCAGGGTGAGAGGGGGGTTGTGTCCGTCTCCCTGTCGGGGGCACAGTTGCAGGTGCCTCACATCTCACATCGCAGCCTCCACAGGGTCGCCCGGCATCGTCCGCCCGGCTGGGCGCATCCCTGCCCGGTGTGTGTGTCAACAGAGATTCTTCTAGAAGGCCTGGCCCTTCCGGGTGGCGCACGAAGGGGCCCTTGGCCATGAGTTGTTTCTTGTCAGGCACTTACGGTAAGCGCTGAGCCATTCACACTTTCTGAGAAGGACATCGGCTCCGTTCGCAATGGAAAAGCACAGAATTTCATCCTTGTTGGCCTCCAGGAGGCAGCCAGCCGTGCGGCCTCGCCGAACAATGTAGCGGGAGCACCGGCTGCGGGTCCCGTCGCTGCTTCGTCTGTGATGCAAGAAGAGAACATGGAACCATCGAGAGCCTGCGGAAGGAGCGTCTACACACGTCTCCCGCCCACTCCTTTGCTCCCCGTCTGCACTCGCTGCCCGCACTGGCTTCAAGGGCTGTCTGTGCAGGTGCCGTAAGAGCTGATCAGCAAAGGGGCGCCTGGGGGGCTCAGTCGGTTGAGCGTCCGACTTCGGCTCAGCTCACGATCTCCCGGTTCGTGGGTTCGAGCCCCGCGTCGGGCTCTGTGCTGCCAGCTCAGAGCCTGGAGCCTGTTTCAGAGTCTGTATCTCCCTCTCTCTCTGACCCTCCCCTGCTCACGCTGTCTCTCTCTCTCTCCCCTAGAAATAAATAAAAAATATTAAAAAAAAAAAAAAGAACTGATCAGCATAGCACCCCTTGTCTCAATCAAGCGGGAGGCCCCTCCGAGTGTCCCCCGCACTGTGCCGAGCGGTGGCTGTCCGAAAACGTGCCGCTGCACGGATTCCTGGGACCTGCGAGTCTTGGTTGCAAACACAGTCTTGGCAGCTGGAGTGAAAAGATCTCGGGGAAAGCCCGGCATGCGTGGCAGTGGGTCTTAATTCAGGGGAGGGGTCCATGCAAGACTAGACAACAGACACACACAGGAGAAGCCACACGAAGACGGAGGCAGACATGGGAGGCGAGTGGCCCTAATCTAAGGGACCCTGGGGCCCCAGGAGCTGGGGGAGGCGGGAAGGGCCCTCCCCTGGGGCCTCAGGAGGGAGCTCAGCCCCGCCCCGCCTGCAGCTCAGCGGCCCCGCCCCCAGCTCAGCGGCCCCGCCCCCTGGGTGTCAGTGGCCCCGCCCCCTGGATCTCAGTGGCCCTGCCCAGCCTGCATCTCACTGGCCCCGCCCCCTGGAACTCAGTGGCTCCTCCCCCTGGAACTCAGTGGCCCTCCCCTGGATGTCAACGGCCCCGCCCCCTGGATCTCAGTGGCCCCGCTCCTGGGTCTCAATGGCCCCGCCCCCCTGGATATCAGTGGTCCTGCCCCCTTGGATTTCAGTGGCCCCGCCCCCTGGATCTCAGTGGCCCTGCCCAGCCTGCATCTGTGGCCCCGCCCCCTGAATCTCAGTGCCCCGCCCCTGGGTGTCAGCGGCCCCGCCCCCTGGATCTCAGTGGCCCTGCCCAGCCTGCATCTCAGTGGCCCCGCCCCCTGGATCGAAGTGGCCCCGCCCCTGAATCGAAGTGGCCCCGCCCCGCCTGGATCTCAGTGGGCCCGCCCCCTGCATCTCAGTGGCCCCGCCCCCTGGATCAGTGGCCCCGCCCCTGAATCGAAGTGGCCCCGCCCCGCCTGCATCTCAGTGGCCCCGCCACCCTGGGTCTCACTGGCCCCGCCCCCTGGGTCTCTGTGGCCCCGCCCCCTGGATCTCAGACTCTGGTCTCCAAAGCTGGGAGAGTATGAATTTTTCTGCTGTTCTAAGCTGCACCGGGCGCAGTGCTTTTTTACAGCTGCCCCAGAAAACTAACAAAAGTACAGTTTAACTTGCGCGGTAACCAAGCCCCTGATTTGAGGAGGCACTTGGTTCGGGATGCAGCACGAGTGAAGGTGTCTCCGAGGCCTCTTGCAGTATTAAGAAGAGACCTGGTGCCCAGCCTGGGACCAGGTTAGGCTCCTTCTCGAAGACCTCAAAGCCAAGCAGTGACTACATCGAGGACGATGCCTTTATAATAACGAAGCTGATACTTGAGTGACTTACCTGTGTGACCACCTAGAAAACCCAGCACCTTTTTCCTTGAGTCTTCTCTTCTCACCCCAATTCACCTTAAAACATACCTCTTTGTGTACACTTTGCCACTTATCTCTTATTCTTTCAAACTTCAAAGAATCAATCACACACCACACACCTCCCCTTCACAGAATGGAGACTGAAGTAATTGGAGAATCCTTCCCTCCCAGATCTATGCTTGTGTATTTGAGGGTGTAAGATACAGAAACCCATGACAGGGAGACATATTTTCGGAAGGTGGGTGCTGATGAGCTCGTGTGAAAAGTCCCGCAAGGTGGGGCGCCTGGGGGGCTCAGTCGGTTAAGCGTCCACCTTCGACTCAGGTCACGATCTCACAGTTCGTGGGTTGGATCCCTGCATCAGGCTCTGCACTGACAGCTCAGAGCCTGGAGCCTGTTTCAGATTCTCTGCCTCCCTCTCTCTCTGACCCTCTTCTGCTCATGCTGCCTCTCTCTCTCTCAGAAATAAATAAAACATTTTTTAAAAATCTAAAAAAGAAAGAAAAGTCACACAAAGTTCATCTTTGTCAGGGCTGCCTAGAAAGTAACAGCTCAAGGGAACAAACCTCCAGGCAACGGTATGTGCTGAGACATTGCAAACGGTCCCGGGTGAATAAGCACCTTGTGGACGCGCTGGTAAGAATCTAGGTGGTTTCGAGCGTGACTGAGTCATCACTAGGTTACAAGTTTGGGGATCTTTGATTGCAGTTGCGGCGAAGTCTCGAGGTTAACACAGCGCACACTTTCACACGTGCACATTCTGAGTCTTCTCACCTTCACTATCTGGACCTCAGAATGGTCGGTGTCTCAGAGGAAGAAATATTTGAGTGCAGAGCATGGCTTTCCAGTCCTGGGGACACTTACTTGTAGACGAAAGTCAGATTTGTCCCGGAGTGTTGTTTGCTTGCATTCCAGGTAACCTGCACAGCCTCAAAATTAAAGTTGATGATCTGAAGCTGCAGCGCTCCTTCTGGGTAAAAAGAGACAAATAGGAGACCTTTTGAGACAATGCTGAAAACGGTTGGAAATTTGTAAAACGACATGAGCCATTCCATCGTAAGAATAATAGAGTGCTTTCAAGGCACAGATCAAATCACGATTTTCACAAAGAAGCCGGGCATTAATTACATCAGTAAGAGCTGCAGGGTAGATAAAGATCGCTCAGGACAGAAACAAAAGATTACAGCTACGTTTCTTCTTATGTTTACAAGAGATAATGGTCATTAATTAGTGTGAAAATCAACTCTTGTCAACTGTGTGCCTCATGACATCGCCTTTTGCAGTCACAGAGGGTACCAGACACCAGCAAACTCACCGTCTCTTTCAGAACAGCACGCATGACAATTTGAGAAAAAGTTCACAGACCAATGAGTCATTCAGTCTTGGCTCTTAAAGTTACTTAGGCTTGTGCAGTTTTGATTTTCACAGATGTCTGGGTTAGTCATTGTGAAAGTAGTTAGTGGGTGTGTTCTAGCATTGAGCAAATATGCACTGATCCTGACGGTGACAATGGGCAAGTTTCCTACTGTCAGATGAGGGGGTAACAATTTTGGGGATAAAGGCTACCATGATCTCAGGGACCTTGTGTTAGAAGTGGAAGTATCATGATGGAGAAAGAGGGAGAGAGAGAGAAAGAATGGATGGATATGTAGGTAGATAGGTAATAGATGGATGAATTGATGGATGGAAAGAAGATTGATGGGTGGATAGATGGGCAGATAGATGGATATAATCATGGATGGATGGATGGAGATAGATGGATACATCAATGGATGCATGGAAAAATTATTAATGGGTAGATAAGTAGATAGATAGATAGATAGATAGATAGATAGATAGATAGATAGATATAAAGATGGATGTATGCTTGGATGAATGGATAGATGGATGCTTGGATGGATGTTGGATGGATAGATGAATGGTGGGTAGATGGATGGAGGGATGGTGGATGGATGGATGGATGAAGGACACGCTTCTGGCAGCCAGCAGGTTGTGGGTGAGAGGAAGGTGAACAGATTCATGGCCACAAGTGCTGAGGAAGAGAGTCTGAAAGACCCCAGGTCGGGGCCTCCCAGTCCACATTCAGTGCTGGGTTCAGCCCCCATCCCCGCCCCCCAAGCCGGAGGCAAATACGTGTCCCGGCGCTAGTGGTGTTTGCTCAGCATCCGCTCTGACATCTCTGGGCTGTGGTTTGGCCTGATGAATGCTCATGGGGTCAGCCCCCATTTCACGGCCCAGAATGCACCATCCTCTCTCAGTTGACACGGCTCTTTTACGTATTCTAGTCTTCGTTTTCCGATCCGGTTGTCACCCGCAGGTCACCCAGGTGCCCAGGCCTGGGCTCAACACGTGCGCAAATGTTGAGCTTCCCGCTGAGCCTCCAAAGTGTGTTTTTGCAGCACGTTCTTGCTCTCGAGGCAGATTCTTGGCCAGAACCTTCCGACATTCGCAAGCCATTTGTCAGGGCTCGGGTGCGGTTTGCAAAATAGAAAGGAGACCTTTCCTTGAGCATGTGGTCGTCACCCCGGCCCCGGCCCCTGTAAGGGCAAATCGCAATTTAAAAATAAATGAGTTCATTCTTCCTGTGAAAGATAAAAGGGGCATCTGGCTGGCTCCGTCAGTAGAGCCTGAGATTCTTGGTCTCGGGGTGGGGATTTGACCCCACGTTGGCTCTTGAGAGTAGTTTAAAAAATAATTGAAAATCTTAAGTAAAGAAAAGAAGGAAAGGAAAGAAAGGAAAAGAAAAGAAAAAAGGAAAGGAAAGGAAAGAGAAGAGAAGAAAGGAAAGGAAGAGATGCATCCTCTGCCTTTTCTCAGAGGGTTTACTTTAGGAAACTTATAGGATTTTTCTCCATCTCTCTGACATACATGCAAATCCTTTTCTTGATCTTGGTATTGTGATTCCACCCCACGTTGGTTCTTGACAGTACTTTAAAAAATAATTGAAAATCTTAAATAAAAGAGAAGAAAAGGAAAGGAAAGGAAAGAAAAAGAAAGAGAAAAGGAAAGGAAGGGAAAGAGAAAAGAAAAGAAAGAAGGAAAGGAAAGGAAATGAAAGAAAAGAGAAAAGGAAAGGAAAAAGAAAAGAAAAGGGAAAATAAAAAAAAGAAAGGAAAGGGAAGAAAAAAAAGAAAAGAAAACGAAAGAAAAGAGAAAAGGAAAGAAAAAAGAAAAGGAAAGGAAAGAAAAGAAAAGAAAAGATGAAAGGAAAGGAAAGAAAAGAAAAAATGAAAGGAAAGAGAAGAAAAGAAAAAAAGGAAAGGAAAGGAAAACAAAAGGAAAGGAAAAGAAAGAAAAGAAAAGAGGAAAGGAAAGAAAAGAAAAGAAAAAAGAGAAGAGAAAAAAGAAAAGAAAAGAAGAAAGAAAAAACAGAAAAGAAAAGAAAAAAGCAAAGGAAATGAAAGAAAAGAAAAGGGGAAAGGAAAGAGAAGAAAAAGGAAAGGAAAGGAAAGAAAAAAGGAAAGAGAAAAAAGGAAAGAGAAAAGGAAAGGAAAAAGAAAAGAAGGGAAGGGAAGGGAAGGGAAGGGAAGGGAAGGGAAGGGAAGGGAAGGGAAGGGAAGGGAAGGGAAGGGAAGGGAAGGGAAGGGAAGGGAAGGGAAGGGAAGGGAAGGGAAACCGAACCGAACAGATGCGTCCCCTGCCTCCTCTCGGCGGGTTGACTTCAGAAACGTGTAGGATTTTTGTCCACGTCCGACACGCAGCAAACCGTTTAAAAGCGAGCGCCGCTTGCAGACTCAGGACCCAGAAAGCTCTTCGTCCAGGACTGAACGCAGCTAACGCGCAGGCACCGGACGCCCCTCCCCCCACTGTCCTGCGAGGTCAAGTTCAGCTGCAGGTTGTGAAGCCGCGTCCGGCGTCTCTTCTCCGCTGGACGAAGCCGGTGAGCTCAGCGCAGGGGCTCCCACCCTGAATTCAGGGAGCACTTTGTGCCCAAAGGGTCTTGGGGGGTCTCAACTGCTGAGTGTCCCCCCACCCCACCCCACCCCCCACGCACCCCACCCGCGGGTCTGTCCCAGGGTCTCTCTGTTTGCAAATCTCCCGAACGGCCTGCGTGGGACTCGCTCGGCCTTGTGGTTTCAGGCTTGTTTGAGCTCAAAGCGGTGGTTTCTCTCCCTCTTCTCCTTTGCGGAGGGGACTTCGGGGTGCGCACCGATTTCGTCTCTGAGTCAAGTTTCCAAACGGGGGGAGGGGGAAGGCCGCCCGGGGCCACAGGTTCCCCTGTGATTTCCACGGAGACGGGCTTCCCAGTGTTGGCGGGCAGGTCCGCCCCCCAAAAAGGAAGTGGGGGGCCCAGAACGGGGCTTCCCCCCCACGGCTCTTGTGAAAAGCCGTCTGTGGGTTTTACCAGACGTGACGGCACCTGAAAGACAGACCGAGGGAGAGGAGCGGCCTGTGCAGGGGTGCGGAGGGCAGAGACTCAGATCTCTGCGGCACTGATGGCCAGACTTCATCAATAGTTCGTCCCTGCCGTGCAGACGCCCTCACGCAGGACACGGGGAGGCTGGGGGGCCGTGTTTGATGGGGGCTGAGCTTTAGTTAGGGAAGCTGAGAACATTCTAGAAATGCATGGTAGGGATGCTTGCACCACAACATGAATGTACTTAATGCCACCAGACAGTACCCTTAAAAATGAGTTAGGCAGAACAGTTTTTAGTTTTATAGTTAAAATGTTACAGTTTATGGAAACCAACCTGACAATAAACAATTTGTAAAAAAAAAAAAAAAAAAGAGTAAAGAATTGGAAAAAAATAAGTAAATAAATCCACATGTTCCTATAAAAGATTTTAAAGTTTACCATAATTGCTGACATCTTTTAAATATTTATTTTTCAGAGATGGAAAATTTTATATATATTTTAACTTAATTGTTTAATTTTTTTTTAATTCTTTATTTATTTTTGAGAGAGACAGAGACAGAACACGAGTGGGGGAGGGGCAGAGAGGGAAGGAGACACAGAATCTGAAACAGGCTCCCGGCTCTGAACTGTCAGCGCAGAGCCTGATGCAGGGATCAAACCCACGAACCGTGACATCATGACCTGAGCCCAAGTCGGACGCTTAACCGCCTGAGCACATAATTTTATACCTTGTGCCCCACTGACCTCTGTGCTGACAGCCTGGAGCCTCCTTGGGATGCTATCCCTCCTTCTGTCTCTCTCTCTCTCAAAATAAATAAATGTTTTTAAAAACCTTATTCTATCAAAAAAAAAAAACAGAAATGGTTGAAATAATTGTTTCTATTCTGATCATCTCTTCTCCATAGAGACCGAGAAGGTGACCTCATAAATCACAGGAATCCGTCACTATGACTTTTGCCATCACGAGGGCCTCTGCCCGCCCAAAGGGCGCTGGGCATTTCTGCGGTCGACACCCCAGGACCCATGGGTGCCCCGGGGAAGACCCCGGAGCCAGAAGCCACACAGTGTCACTTAAAATGCTCACTCACTTCCCGTCTGAACCGTTTGTGTGCGTCCGAAAAGCAACAGCAGGGAGCTTGAGAAGCGGTGACCTCAGGCCCCCGAATGGGCAGGTCCTCCATGGGGTGTGGGGTGTGCAGACAGCTCAGGTCGCACCCCCCGCCGCCCCTCCCGCCTCCGGGCTGCTGGGCAGAGGGGGGTGGGTGCAAACACCCCCTCGTCCGCCCCTTCAGCCGACGAGTCACCTACGTGCGTTGGGGTCTCCCTCCCTTTCTCTCTGTCTCTCATCTATGTCTCTCCCTGTCTCTGCACCTCCCGTGCGGCTGAGATGCTCACCCGGGGGGTCCCAGTGACAGCTGCACGGGGTGCAATGCAACATGAAAACATAATAATCCAATTAAAAATGTATCTCTCTGGCCCGTGATGGGGGCGAGGCTCACATGGACAAACACCGTCTTCGCAAATCCCGTCCCGTGGGGACATGTCAGGGCTTAGGGCCTGAAGACCTCAGGTCGAGGGGGCAGAGCCGAGCCCACGACAGAAGAGCAGTTTGCACACGGGCTGTGGGGCCAGAAGCCTATGGCGTGTGGTCCGCGCAGGGAGACGTGCGTCGATGGCCCTGTGACAGGCGTCTGCAGCCCTGTGAGCCCATGAGGGCGCTGGCCCTGGGGACGCCCTGCAAGGGTGTGCAGCCCGAGCAGAATGGGCTCCGGCCGCTGAGTCCTAACGGGCTTTGCAGCTGTGATGCCTCGAGGGAAAGGCAGCTCCGCTCAGAGCGGGGCAAGCAAACCACAGACGCTTGTCGGCGAGAAACAAGCCGCCGTGTTTTCTAAGAAGTTACTAGAAAGGCTTTCAGTGTGTGCGGCTCGAGGGCAGGAGCCGTCCACCGTCTGTCCGTCGACCTCTGCCTGGTGATGAGCCTTAGAGCTTTAGAGCTTACGGCTCTGCTCCAAGCGGGTCAGAACCCACTCCTGGTCTACACCCAGGGTGCCTGGGGGGCTCAGTCCATGAAGTGTCCAGTTCCAGCTCAGGCCATGATCTCAGTTTGTGGGTTCAAACCCCGCGTCGGGCTCTGTGCTGACAGCTCGGAGCCCAGAGCTCCTTCGGATTCTGCGTCTCCCTGTCTCTCTGACCCTCCCCTGCTCATGCTGTCTCTCTCGCTCTCTCTCAGAGATAAATAAATAAAACATTAAAAAAATGAAATCCCAATAAAACAAAAGCCAGCATTTTCTTCCTAAACCTCCTATACGTGCAAACATATGATATTTGTCCTTCTCTGCCTGACTTATTTCGCTCAGCATAACACCCTCAAGGTCCATCCATGTTGCTACGCAGGCCAGATTTCATTCTTTCTCATTGCCATAGAGTATTCCATCGTATAGATAAACCACATCTTCTTGATCCATTCGTCCACTGATGGACACTTAGGCTCTTTCCATGTTTTGCCTATTGTGGAGAGTGCTGCTGTGAACATTGGGGTGCATGTGCCCCTGTGCATCAGCACCCCTGTATCACCCCTGGGTAAATTCCTAGCAGTGCTATTGCTGGGTCACAGGGGAATTCTGTTGTTAATTTTTTGAGGAACCTCCACACTGTTTTCGAGAGGGGCTGCGCCAGTTTACATTCCCACCAACAGTGTAAGACGGGGCCCCAAACTGTGCTTTTCTTAATCTACCTCCGAGTTGACGCCTCGGGGAGGAAGACACACATCTCGAAACGAAAAGTCCGCCAAGCGCGCCGGGCGATACCCACGTCTGCCGCCGCCAAGCCAGAAAATGAGCGCCCTGATCGCTCCGTCTATGCTCTCCCCCGTTCCCGTTTCAACAGAGCTTATAACACGAGCAAGGAGCCTGGAAAGAACTTTCTGGAGAATTCCAGAAACAGAGAACGCGCACCAGGAATCATGCTCAGGAGGCGCAGGCTTGGGGTTTGAGGGTGACCCCCGACGCAGGCTGGGGCCACGACCTGTCACCAGCAGACACGTAGACACTGAAACAAAGCCTTTGCTCTCTTGCGACGCAGAAAGCACGGCGAAGCCACCCAGAATCTCGGCGCGACACGCGGGCCCCTTCATTTACTTTTTCCGTTCACACCTGATCCGTCCCCACTGGATCAATCGCGAGCCCTCTGTGGGGCGCCCGGGGGGCTCAGTCGGTTAAGCGTCCGACTCTCGATGTCGGCTCAGGTCGTGGTCTCAGGGTTTGTGAGCTCGAGGCCTGAGCCGGGCTCTGTGCTGACAGCTCAGAGCCTCGTGGGATCGTCTCCCTCTCTCTCTCCGCCCCTCCCCTGCTCTCTCGCTCTCTTTTTCTCAAAGTAAATCAATAAACATAAAAAAATAGTAATGAGCCCCTCACAACATGTAAAGTCAGGTTTGCAGAGACTCGGGGAACTGTCCGAGCTCCTTGCTACTTTTACAAACAAACAAAAACCAAAGGAACAATGCAATTGCAAAAGAGGGAAAAAAAAAAGATGAAAGAAAGAAACAGAAAGAAAGAAAGAGGGAGGGGGGAAGGAAGGAAAGAAAAGAGTATGTTAAAATAAAGGACATTTTATGTGCACAAATGGAAGAAAGGAAGGAAAAAGAAGAGAAGGAAGGAAAGAAAGAAGTAAAAGGAAAAAAAGGAAGAAAAGAAAGAAAAGAAAACAAAAAGGAAAGAAAGAAAGAAAAGGAAGAAAGAAGGAAAGAAAGAAAGAAAAAAGGAAGAAAAGAAAGAAAGAAAAGAAAACAGAAAGGAAAGAAGAAAGGAAAGGGAAGAAAAAGGAAAGAAAAAGAAAGAAAAGAAGGAAGAAAGAACAAAAGAGAGAGAAGAAAACAGAAAGGAAAGAAAGGAAAGGAAAGGAAAAAGAAAGGAAAAGAGAAAACGAAAGGAAGAAAGAAAAGAAGAAAGAACAAAAAGAAAAGAAAACAGGAAAGAAAGAAAAGGAAAAGGGAAGAAAGAAAAAAAGAAAAGTAAAAAAAGAAAGGAAAGGAAAGGAGGAAAGAAAGAGAGAGAGAGACAAAGAAAGAAAGAAAGAAAGAAAGAAAGAAAGAAAGAAAGAAAGAAAGAAAAAAAGAAAGAAAGAAAGAAAGAAAGAAAGAAAGAAAGAAAGAAAGAAAGAAAGAAAGAAAGAAAGAAAGAAAGAAAGAAAGAAAGAAAGAAGGAAAGAAAGAAGGAAAGAAAGAAGGAAAGAAAGAGGGCAGGGAAGGGCAGGGAAGGGCAGGGGAGGGCAGGGGAGGGCAGGGGAGGGCAGGGGAGGGCATGCTGGAACAAAGCAGGTTTTGGGCGCAGCCCCCACGTCTGCACCCGGCTCACCGGGCCCCGCGTCCCCTGAAGAGGCCGCCGTCACAGGTGGCAGCAGGAGCAGAGCCGCCGCCCAGGGCACGAAGCCGGCCCTCATGCTGGCACGGAGGAGACGGAGCGCGGGAGGCCGTGCCTCTCGGCTCGTGTGCAGAGGTCGCCCCGTCTTTAAACAGAACAGAAACAAGGAAATGACAGCGGGAAGCGGGGCGCTCTTAACAACATGACTCTTGAAAAAAAAAAAAAAAAGGCAAAAAAGGCGAAATCACTTTGCATCCAGGCTGAGCTGGGCTGCTCATCTTCCTGGCGGGTCAGCGGGATCAAGCGCGGAGGGAGCTCCTGCAGCCACTATGTGGTCAGAGGCGCCGGACTGCGGGGCGGGCGCAGACATGTGACGCCCCGGGTCGGCCGGTTTCCAGCCCAGTGGGCGTGAGCCTGGGTTCCCTAAGGTTCTCACTCTGGGGACTTCCAGACTTCCAATCACAAATCTTTTTCTTCTGTTTTTTCTTTTGTGTGTGTGTGTGCTTTTTGGGTTTTGGTTGTTGGTTTGTTTGTTTGTTTGTTTTTGCAAGACTTTACCAAGGAGACCGGTGTGTGTGTCTCTGAGACTGACCACCTGCAGCCAACGTGTTTCGGCCACTTGCGCCTTGAAATGCACGCCCTTGAGGGGGTGCCCGGGTCTTGTGCTAAAAATAAGCATAGGGGCGCCTGGCTGCCTCCGTCCGTGGGGCCTGTGACTCTCGGTATCAGGATCACAAGTTCAAACCCCACCCTGGGCATCGAGACGACCAAAAAAGTTGTGTTTTCTCAAAACTACTACTGCCAACACTGATTTCTGTGTTTGGCGCTTTCACAGACACTCACAAAATTTGTGAGCAAAAGGAGAGGCAAAAACAGACAAAGAAAAATCAGACAAAATAAAACAGGAATAAGTTCATTTTAGAGTTAAAAAGTCTGTTTCTAGGGGCATCTGGGGGGCTCAGTGGGTTGAGAATCTGACTCTGGATTTCAGCTCAGCTTATGATCTCATGGTTCATGGGTTGGAGCCCCGCGTCGGGCTCTGTGCTGACAGCTTAGAGCCTGGAGCTGCTTTGGATTCTGTGTCTCCCTCTCTCTCTGACCCTCCCCTGCTCACACTGTCTCTGTCTCTCTCTCTTAAAAATAAAGAAACTTTTGAAAACAACCTGTGTTTGTGAGAAGCTAACTGTGAGCTGTCTTGCAATCACTTACTACGTGCAGGCTGGCTCGGCCCCAGGCCTGGGTCTCTGTGGCCTGAACGCCCTGCACATCCTAAGTCCAGAGCTGCTCTTGACATGCAGGTGTGCAGGCTGCGTTCCCGCGGGAATTTCTAGGTGACAAGCTCTAGAAGCCGTCTGCACCGCTTGTCTCACAGCCAGTCCTACCCCCCTCCAGACTCGGCTCCTGTGGTCATATCTCCTTCTCCGACTCTGACTTTTCTGCATCCCTCATATAAATAGGGACCCTGTGTCCACGTGGATAATCCATAGTAATAGTCCCCATGTCCAGACTCGTAATCACATCTGCGAAGCCACTTTTGTCATGTTAGGTATCGGGATTACCTGATTGGGATGGATTGGGATGTGGATACTGTAGTGTGATAGCTGATAGATGATAGATAGATAGATAGATAGATAGATAGATAGATAGATAGATAGATAGATGATACGTAGATACATAGATATAATGGATGGATTGGATGGATGGATGGGTGGATGGATACAATAGATGATAGATAGATAGATAAATAGATAGATGACTGATACATAGATGGATAGATGGATGAATGGATGGATGCATGCATAGATGGATGGATGCATAGGTAGATACATAGATAGAATGATGGATAGACAGATGGACAGATAGATAATTAGATAGATGACAGATACATAGATGGATGGATGGATAAATGGATGGATGCATGCATAGATGGATGGATGGATGGATGGATACATAGATACATACATAGAATGATGGATAGATAAATAGATAGATAGATAGATAGTAGATAGATAGATAGATAGATAGATAGACAGATAGATACATAGATAGAATGATAGGTAGGTAGGTAGATAGATAGATAGATAGATAGATAGATAGATAGATAGACAGATAGACACATAGACACATAGAATGATAGATAGATAGATAGATAGATAGATAGATGACAGATACATAAATGACAGATACATAGATGGATGGATGGATGGATAGACAGATACATAGATAGAATGACGGATAGATAGATAGACAGAGACATAACCTCTCTGTGGACCAAGGACAGCCTTCTCGCCTCGTCGCTGTGCACATGTGGGGCTGCATCACTGTGTGCTGTGGGGCATCCTGTGCACCGTGGGGTGTTGCGCGGCGCCCCGATCACCCACCAGATGCTAATAGCACTGCCACCGAGCCATGACGGCCAGATGTCTCCAGACATCACCAGGTGTCCCTGTGGAGACGGGAGTGTCGTCCCCTTAACTCTCCTCCACCACAGCGTCCTCCCCCCGCCCTAGGGAGCCTGGAGTTTCTAGCTCTTTCCAGAGGGATCTTGTCACTTACACACCAAAGGAGGAAGTGCAGACGGACGACCCGAAAAGAAATGGCGGCCGAGGCCAAAGTGAGAACATGGCCACGTGTTGTCTGGCTCTTCTGTGACTTAGCAATGGTGATTTGGTGAGATTCGAATTTTACGGAAATGGAAACGTGTGTCTTTTCCCCTCGAAATGCACGATCACAGCTAATCGGGTCAAGCACATGAAAGAGTGTTTGTCCCTTGGGAGGGCCAAAGATGCACTTTAAAAAAAAAAAATTTTAATGTTTATTTCTGAGAGAGAGAGACAGCGTGAGCAGGGGAGGTTCAGAGAGAGAGGGAGTCACAGAATCTGAAGCAGCTCCAGGCTGAGCTGTCAGCACAGAGCCCGACGTGGGACTCGAACCCACGAACCGTGAGATCATGACCTGAGCCGAAGTCGGATGCTTAACCGACGGAGCCCCCCAGGCGCCCCAAAGATGCACTTTGGAACACACAGTGTTCTCTGGCTCCTCTCACAAGCCATTGGAGAGTGTCCCCCATGTTTTACTGCTGGAGACACTGAAACCCACGGCTCCGAGGGGGCTGATGGGCGGGAAAAGCATTTCACTAGAGCCAGGCCATCTTTCTGATATTCTCTGGCCCTCCCCTTTAACTTGGGAAGAAAATAATTGGGGAGACCCAGGAGAGAATGAGCAGTCAACACCCCCATCCACTGTGGACACAGCCCTGGAGGCCGTCATCATCTCTGGTGGAGACAGGCAGATATCCACGCCGCCCACCTGCTTCCTTCGTCATCTCCACTCAAAACCACAAACCGGTGTTGAGCTGTTCGTATTTCCCAACGCCAGACATGTGCAATGAGTCAGCGACCGAGAAAAAACGATGGATGGGGTTGTAAGATAATCATTCGAATGTCACTAAAAATGTCACAGTTTCCCTGTGAAGAATGCTTCCCGAATGCCTTGCGTGCACGGGTTTCTGTGCGTCCGGCATATACATGTTCCGTGCTGTCCATTTTGGTTTTCTTTTTTTAATTAAAATTTTGCTAATGTTTTATTTATTTTTGAGAGAGAGACAGTGTGAGCAGGGGAGGGGCAGAGAGAGAGGGAGACACAGAATCCGAAACAGGCTCCAGGCTCTGAGCTGTCAGCACAGAGCCCGACGTGGGGCTCGACCCTGCGAATCGTGAGATCATGACCTGAGCCAAAGTCGGACTTCCAACCAACTGAGCCCCCCATGCGCCCCCATTTTGGTTTTCTGTACGGAACCAATCATGCCGAAATGTGGCAGCGGAAATGAACAGCAGCCTATTGTATTGTCTCCTGATTCTGAGGGTGGACAGGACTCAGAAGCTCTACTGAGTGTCGGCCATCACAAGACGTAACAGGATAGAATGTTCTAGATGGCCATTCATACACCTGCCAGCTAAGCTAACTATCATCCAAGAGCTTGAGCAGAACTTTCACCAACTCGAAGACGTGACTGGATGGAATGTTCCAGACAACACACCTGCCACATTCAATTGCCCAAAGCCAAGTGAGAGGCCACCCCTAATGTGAGAAGAGACACACAGAACTCCACCTTTCCTTTTCCTGTAAAAAAATTCACCCTCATTTTGATTGTTCTATAGGAGTGATCATTTTTGTATAAGATTTGGTGTTATTTCCCAAAGAAACGGTTAATTCTTACCTCGACTCAACATGAGACGTGGCCATCGCAATGACAATTGCCTCCAGAAATGGTTAAGCCTCCACTAGCCTTCCGTGTCAAGCTCCTTCTGTAATTAATTGTGTCAGAATGTACACGGCGAGATTATCTCTCATCTCGAGTCTAGCAGCTTTATTTCTCAATCTGCCCAACACTCGAGATGTAATCGCGAAAAGGCGTCACTGCAACTGAAAGCCGTGAGCAACGCGGTTTGCTATCAGATTCATCTCTGAGCGAAAACCTGTCCAAGTTCACTCTGCTGTAGGAACCATTGTATAACAGAGGAATTTCTCCACCCCCGCAGGGAAGACTTATTCAGGAGGGAGGAATATACAGCACCAGAGCTTTTATACTACGAGACCATGGGAAACGCCGCTATTCCATTGTTTCGGGAGAGACTGGAAGATGGGCAGACACACAGGGTCCGATTTAGAACCTTCTAGAGTGGACGGGGAGTTGGCTTCAGAGGGTGCATGTGTCTTGACCAGAGAGAAGGGAGCCTTGTCTGCGTGCACTTATGTTACCTTTGTGTCTGTTCCCCTCACATCTCTGAGGACCGGCCAACACCGACCACCAGCATGGAGCACAGATCAGTGTACGATGTTGGTATCGGAAGCCAAAGAAAACCAGACTCCTTAACTGCATGGTTGTTTTCTGGGCCAAATAATGACAATACGTAGCAGGCAGGGCTGCCTGTGCTGAATCGCGTTCCCTAAAGACACAGCCGAGTCCTAGTAGTGAGAAAGAACAAGGGCTACTGCCCTTCATGTCCATCCGAATCCTTCCTTCCCCTGCTCCGCCTCACCCGCCCCCAACCCGGCCTTGCTTCCTACCGCATACCAGGAAGCAGACACGGCTGACCAGCGTCCTGGGCACAGGCGGGAGAAGTTCACCAGTTCTCCAGACTTTTCC